TATATATATATATATATATATATATATATATGCCCCGTCTACATTGCGAAGCTTTTTGTGTTTTGTTTGTTTGTCTGTTGTTTGTTCCTGTCTGCAGGTTGGCTACTCCCGGCAGCAGCAGCATCAGTAACAGCAGCAGCAAGAGCAGCAGCAGCAGCAAGAGCAGCAGCAGCAAGAGCAGCAGCAGAAAGAGCAGCAGCAGAAAGAGCAGCAGCAGCAAGAGCAGCAGAAGAAAGAGCAGCAGCAGCAAGAGCAGCAGCAGCAAGAGCAGCAGCAGCAAGAGCAGCAGCAGCTGCTGCTGGTGTTGGTTTGAGTGTGTCTCTGTTTGTGTCTGTATGCCGTTTGTCTCTTTCTGTCTCTTTTTATTTATACTCTTTTGATTTGTTCTTTCAGTCTGCAATATATAATAAAATATGCATAAAGAAAGTAAGAGACGCTACAGCCTCAACAGTGCTGCCTCAGGTGTACGTACACCTCGACATAAACGTCGCCGCCACTACTGCTGCAGCAACGCCAGCAACAGCAGCAGCAGCAGCAACAGCAGCAGATGCAGCTGCTTCTGCTGGGAACCCCACTCCCAGCAGCAGCAGTTACCACGTACGCATGCAGAACCTAGCTAGCCAGCTAGCTGCTGGCTAGCTAGGCTAGCTAGCGGAAGCAACGGCTAGCTAGAAGGCTGCCTCTACTTGCTGCAGCGGTTGCAGCAAGAAGCTGCTGCTGCTGTCGTCCTTACAAAGGAATGAGCAGCAACGTTGTTGCTGCTCTCCTCGACATTGCTGCTGCTGCTGCTGCATCTGCTGCATCTGCATCTGTTGCATCTGCTGCTTCTGCTGCTGCTGCTGCTGCTGCTGCTGCTGCTGGTGTTTAGTTGTAGACCATGTACTTGGCAGTAGCGCTGAATCTTTTGTAGCTTTTTATGACGCGGTTAATTGCTTCGATAAAATCCTTCTCAGAAATACTCTGCATGCACCCAAACACACGCACACAAACTTCATACACCCCCACACCACACACATACCCAGCTAGCTAGCTAGCTAGCTAGCTAGTTGGCTAGCTGGCTAGCCAACCTTAGGCCGCCCTCTTCTCATTCAACTTGAATACTTTCAGGTTGTTGGTTTACTACCCAGCTAGCTGGCTATCTAGCTAGCAATATGGTTATATACATATATATATATATATATATATAAACCTATCTAGCTAGCGACCTGGGTAGCTAGCTAGCTAGCTAGCTGACCTTTTTGCGTGCCCTAATAGCAAGGATTCCGGCCTCTGTGCAGACAGAGCGGAGGTCAGCGCCAGTGCTGTTTGGACAAAGACGTGCGAGAAGTTCATAGCGAATGTTTTTATCCACGCTCAGTGTCTTCGCGTGAATTCGCAAAATGTGCGTGCGTCCCTAATAACAAACAAAAGAAATATATATATATATATATATATATA